CGGGCCGACGAGCAAGAGGTCGTGAGATCGACTTCTTGGCGAGTTCTCAGCTGCTTTTCTTGAAAACATTGTTCAAAGGACTCTTATGCATGCTAAATCATCAGCGACTGCCTATCCTATAAGTGGAAAGAGCTGGCAAAGAGCTTCGAACACTGTGCGCGTCATTTGCCGTGTCCTGTCGGTCGTGTGTGCCCACATTTTCGACTTTAGGTCAAAATTTTGGATTTGGACCAAAAGTTGTCGGAAGGGGTAGTTTGATGCGCTGAACACGAAAATCACATCTATTTGGCAAGAAAGTGCCATGACGCGTGCGCTACGGGTGCCAGAGACGGTCATTTGCAAATGACGCGCACAGTGTTCGAAGCTCTTCGCCAGCTCTTCCACTTGTATGATAGGCAATCGCTGATGACTTAGCACTTAGAGCAGATTCGAGATCAGCGTCCACAACTAGAGATGTGTGCCTCGTTACAAATGGCCACTTCGACCCGGTATCCTTCCCTTGTCAGCGAAGACTGCAGTATAACGACCGCACAGTTCGCCAGCCAGAAGAAATCGTGAGGCTCGCGATGGGAGACCTCTCTCTGTGCTCTCATGCGCGAGCGTTGAGGGTAAGCCGCCGGGATAAAACTGGTGTATAAAGAGGCTTCGTAGTAATGACTGAGCTGCGGAATGAACTGAAAGTGGAAGGGAAAGCAAGAGAAAACAAGGGAACGCTAAAATTAAGGCCTTAACCTTCAGCAGGGTTGAATGTGGGACGGGCGACGGCGAGGCAGGGCGATCAAAGAAGACAAAACACGAGAGAGCACGCTGATCTCTACATCAATCGCGGTGGGTGGGAAGCGTTGCAACGGGGTCGATGGTTGCAGGCCCGTAAGGATTAGCGCCCTAATCGCGCAATTTTGCGACGAAGCTGGAGTGATCTAGGTAGGTACGGACCTTACAATTTCCCTCGTGGTATCCTTCCTACTAGTCGGGCTGATTACGGAGCTTGCCTTTAAGTGATAAGCATGAGATGAGTCAGCTACAATTTGCCGTCGCTCTTTCCCGCCCGCATCTCACCAGCCTTGATCGTGAGAATCGGCTACTTCTAAGGGGAAACCGCCGGAGTAGGTAACGGGTTACAGGTCGATCTACACTTGCTACACCTATATGCTGACGTAAATTAAGCATCTACCTACGACCACTGACCTTGCTCATTATTTCTGTCATTTGACGAGGAGAGGTGCCCTGGGAACTACTGTACTACTCATGACGCATTGCTCGGGTCACAATGAAGATCCTGAATGGGTTGCATTCTGGATAAAATCCATAAGGGCAGGCACGACCGTGTACTGGAAAGCAGTACCTCGAGCAGAAAAGAGTACTGTTCGGTCATAACTGTTCCCGAATTGGATCAGATGGTGTGCCTCATCCCTACTGCTGATGTTGAGTTCAGTGAAAAAAGTGGTGATTTCGATGTCATTTGCAAGCAACGCCCCGGAAAGCCAAAAAATCCATAACAATGAATTCCAAATAAATTACAAAGCTGAGTGATCTTGCAGACGAGCTGGAATTTACTGGGCCAATTGAAACGTCTATATGCAATGGGAAAGTGGTGGAAAATGCTCTCGCACGATTTGTCCCCCCCCCCTGGGATCGGTAGGGCGTGTGACCCACTTTTGAGGAAACTCTCGAAGAAGAACTTCCGCCGCTCGGGTGATAAATCCGCTCACCACCAAGGTAGTCAAAGGGAGAGGCATTTCTGATTTTTTCCTGATCGGAAGGACGGGCAGTGGCAAGATGGCACATGGTTTTGCAAAGTTCAAGTGATGTAAAAATGAGACAACGAATTGATCGCTTCAAATTGTAATTCTAGGAAAGTACATAATATCGAAGGGCTTTCTTGTGCCTTTGAGCTCAGTCAATCGTAAAACTGCCTACCCTGTTCGGAACACTTTTCCTACTTCACCCATTTTTCGTTTTCCTCGGTATAAAAATAGCACTCGAACACAGGGCTTAGGAAGAGGGACACCCAGGTACACTCAGGCAAAGGTCAGCGCTTTTTCAACTGCTATTTTTCAGCTTTTCACGAAACTTAGAACGCGGCTCAGGACTCATGCGCTGGATAGGGAGGGAATGCAACAGGCAAATCAACTGCTACGAAATGGTTCGCAACTTCAAACGATGTGATTTCGGCTAGTAGTTAGTTAGTTAAGTCATAATTGCATTTGCCAGGACAACGTCGTGCTTTGGGAAATGCTCCTGAAGTAAATCACGTTGACAAAAACCTTCAACATCCTGACATCATCATCGCGCTGGCTTTTCTGGCGGCTCAGTTTTTTCAAGTTACCGAACTAAAGCAATTTTAACCATTCTGCGAGCCAGTCGTTTATAATTATGTTAATATTTGTATGACCGGAAGAATGAATGCAAAAAGAAAACTTGGGAGGAAGTCGATCATGCGCGAAAGAAAGAACACAATTCATGTGGCATTAGTTGCCGCTATCTCACTGCGATGAGTATAGCTAGGTTGGATGGAGTGAATAAAGCTTTACACTGTATGCGCTGAATGAAAAAGCTGCATTATTAAGCGCTCATTTGATATTACCTGTGACAGTATCGCCAATTTGCCAGAAAAACTTATAAAGGTTACAGCTTTCACTGGAAAACACTTGCATTGATATAGGCTGTACTATTATCAACAATAAATGCATTTTCTAGCAAGAAAAAAACCAAGATTAGGTCGCTCAAGCGCACTGCAAGGACAATTATTCTATTTTTGGTAAGGATTACAAAGAAAGTGCACTTGAAAGTCGTGAATGATCACAGCTTGCTATATAACACATTCCCTTCACGTCAAAGAGCTATTTTTACATTTTTCCTCGAAATGAAGGATCCGAAGAACAACTTCATGAGTCTGCCCTCGATCGGGGTCAACCGCCGGTTGCTCAGAGGTCAACGAGGGGGTCGTATTTGGCCAATGGAAGGGAAAGAGTTCATAAGCACAAGTACCAGTCACAAAATTTGCACGTACCCAGGGATGGCCAAGGGCAGAGGAAGTCTGCTCACCACAGACGATTTAATGGTGCGTCCCAGAGCAGGACCTCTTGCTAAATCACTTCATTTTCCAATGGGCACGAGCAAACAGATCCCTCAGGAAAAATTTCGCTGCTTTTAGACTAAACCAAAGTGGGTTAAAGTGCAACAAGTTCGGCGGATCCATTGCTACAGCCTAATGAAGATTCTGGCAAAAAAATGCTTTTCATTCCGAAGGTTCTCAGGAAAATCCAGCATAATCTATAGAGCACTGATAAGATTTAAATTCCAATAGTTTTTACCACCTTTTAATATACCAACTCTGAAGAAACTTATGGGAGTCTGAAGGTTGAAAACTCGCGTTTTAGTAAAATCGCCTTAAAACCTCATAGAGGGAAAAAACGGAATAATGATTTTTTTGGAATTGTGGTTCTCACAATCTTTGAAAACTTGTGCTCTCAAAAATCGGGCCACAAACCTCTGAAAAACGGAACAACGGGTCAATTTTTTGAAAGAGTGATTTTAAAAAAAGATTCAGTACAGATTCAAAACTCAAGTTCTTTCAACTAGCCAATCAGCCTCACATAGAAATTTCACTGTTCAAATAGTTCCTATTGGTTGACCATTTAGTCAGAATTACAGAGCATTCACCAGGATTGAGGAGCAATCCCAATCGGGGTCAATGGTGCGTTGCGCAGTCCTCAGCGATAGGGGATCGTTTTGAGTTCTTTGAGGGGGTGGGTCGCATTTTGGGTTGCTGAGGGCGAAAAGATGAAAGGAAGGGTGCACACATCGCTGGAAAACGAACAGCTCGTGTTTGAGGGGCTTTGTGACTATTTTGGAGAAAATTCCTTGAAAGATTCAGGATCTATTGAAAAATTAGAAGTTTTTCTGATTCTTCACCATATTTACCGCTCCGACAGCCGTTTTGGGACGGAGTTGGGCTATGTCGACTGGTATCAGAGAAAGCGCCATGATGGTAAGATTGGCGGCTAGTTGGGGTGGGGTAGCTGGGGGGGGGGGGTGTATTGGGAGAGTCTCCCAAGGCTAATGGTGGTGGGGGAGAAGTCAAAGTTTCGAAAACTGCGGAACGCACGGTTGACCCTGATCCCAATAGTCTGCGCGCTGAGTTAGAGCCAACTTATAGACAAGGTAAAGTTTCGCTTTTCCAGACGACTCCTGGCAGCTCCCATAGATGTTCTTCGTCAGCTGTTCCATATCCACCCAAAAACATCGTGATCACTTGCGACAATGACGTTCGAATGAAATGTCCTCATGTAGTGATATGGGCTCCAACCGCGTTCAGCAGCCATTTTCCTGTGAAGAGGAAGCATATATATCACTGCAGAGCTTCGCTTATCCCAGATGCAAAGGAATAAGTCGGGGGAAGAATTAGATATTCTTGATAAAAAGTTCTCTACTTCCAGATGTCCCCTTTTGACCCCTTTCAGACTTTGCGGATTGAACGAACTGCTAGCGAATCACTCCGCAAGCAATGCACCAGCGGTCCGATTGATGCAAAAGCAGTTCGAACGATGTACCAGCAAACTGCCAGTGCGGGAACGTAGCCAGAGTCCCGGTCACGCATCGACTTTCGCCACTTTCCCAGGCTCACAAGAGCATGTGAGCTCAGGAAAATGGTGAGGATCAACATGCGCATGAGGGAAGTCGTTCCAATACCGTCAAGACTGCGTCATTCAAACCGCTGGCACATCGCTCGCACATTCGCTGGATTCGCAGTCTGATACCGTCCTCCGAATGAGTGCACAATTACCTCCAAAGGGTAACACTCAGCCACAATGTTTCCACTGATTCCGAGAAAAGCTTCTGCTTCCGCTAACAACAAGAGCGGTCTTCTACAAACTTCTCTGGCTGCCTTCTACAACCATGTCAATTGGGATAAGGGCGCTTTCATGATGGTTTTTGGAAGAAAATCATCCCCATGGCGCGATTTTTTTGGGAGTGCTAGAAAAAGGACGGAAAATAGGTTCTTTTATTGCATATAGCCGAGCAAAAATCTTTGCCATGCATCTGCAGAACGATACGTCAGGTGCAAAATTGCACTCTCAAGAGATTTTTCGTATTGTGTTGCATACCTGGTACTACATCGCACCAATGATCTTGTTTTATATTCCATGAAAGTGCCCTAAGGATATACAAAGAACTACTGGCAAAAAGCTCCACATTCTGAATGAGCTTTCTTATTAGGAAGTAGCTGAGCAAAGATCTGTACTGGTTACATAATTAGCTTAAAATGTGAGTAATCGCTACCTCACATCGATATACGCGGAATTTGACAACTGTGCATAATATACGTAATTTATTGCATCGCTTAATCAAGCATGTAATCGAATGTAACGAGGAAGTATGATTAGTCCACGCTGTATTGACTTCTCGATTTATGAGCCACAAGTCGGCCCTAAATACCCTTTTGTACGGGGAATTCGAACAGAAACCACATTTTTGTAGTATCCAATAAAGCAAATAAAAATATAAATAGAAATAAATATTTATAAAAAAGGAATCGATCAATTCACAAAGCAATGGACGATGTTGAATACGTGGCGCGTTCGGGGGCAATTGCTGAGACCCATCCCTCTGAAGAACGACCGTGTTGCATAAATACAAATAGCAAATATCCTGATTTGAATCTTGAAAAGAAGGGAAAGCTGCCAAGAGCAAATGACGACGATACACGACCTGGGCTACATACATAGACCCCGCCTTCCTGCTATCGTTTTCAATGGAAGGTTTATCCTAATGAGAAAATTTGCTCTCAGAAAGAAAGGCTCTCCGTCCTATGTATCTCGCTGGGGCTTAGCGTGTATGAGACACAACTCACTTTAGTCAATACCCCTCACGGGAAATCCTTCTCTATATTCATAAGCAGTATCATTGATATAGGAGGTCGTAACGGGGTGTACTAAAATTCATCGCTGGTGCAGTGTGGTTTCGTGGAGAACGCGGATGATTTGTTTCGATAGAACAAAAAAGGAATAAAAACACCACGACTCATGTTGCCGTCCGCGATGTTAGTACAGAGACTCAGAAACACTTCAGCATTAAAGGCACAACCCAGGCAGAGTTCGTGTGAACGCTTCTCTTCGGTCTGTAGTATAGACCCCTAGAGGACAATCACAAATGTGGCGTTCCTCGTGCACGGAAACCAACCGACAAGAGCGCTTGGGCCTTGCAAAGTAAGCTGCCCAAGCTGCAGACTTTTTTCTCTTATCAGCTGTTTTGTCTGGCACTCTCTGATCTCTCACCTCATACTCTCCTCTCCTCGCTTAGTCTCTGATTCCCTTGACACAGCCGATTGGGAAGGTGAGTGAGTCTTAAACCTGAGGGCGTTTTTGACGGATTGTTCCCTTTTTTTTCTTTGATGGCCGGCCGATTTCTCACTAATACGTTCGTATTCATGGGCAGGAGCCACACCAAGGTGATCTGGGCATGCCTTTGAGACAACAATTTCTGTTCGGTCCCTGGTGGTTGGCTGAGAAGATCAAAAGCGAAGTTTGAGGACGGCGAATGGTTTTGGCACATATTACTAGGGCGACATTTTTGCCAATTGCACACTACCTCATTCCCGCAAGCGATCTTCAGAAGCCGAGCAGACGCAAAGGTCGCTCACTGATTGGGGCTTTCTGTGTTACACCCGGCTCAAGGCGGCGGTCGCGATAATTGGATTCTGACGAATTGTGAAAACATCGGTGGCTAAGGGTGCGCCGGTGAAGAAGAAATCAAGAGGGAAGGTCAATCTTTGAGCTCGTTAATTTTAGGTTCTGACGAGCTTACGGCCGAAACTGTGGTCTTGCAGTATCAAAATGTCTTGAAGGCATTATTGTGATAGCACGTCAATCGCCACATAAATATCCAACGCATACTCACGGCCTGGAGGCAGGGGAGGGGAGGAGTAGGGCAGGAGAAGAGTTCGAGGAGGATGGTAACCAGCGCTAATCAGACTGGGGTCAAAATCATTGTTGAGGTACAATTCTGATGTACTGTCCTTTATCAATCTATTTGCATGCCCAAAAAGTAAAAGGAAAAAGCGCAAAAGTGCAATGAACCTTGGAAGGGTTGCTGAAAAATCAGGATGTAGCATCAGGAATGCGAGGAGGAGTATATTATAGGCCCTGAATATCCTCCTGTATCATCCTCTGAATATCAGATTTACATATTGAAATTGTTGAAGCTCTCAACCGCAGGATTTAGTCAACATTTTCTCTAGCTGATAGGCTACCAGTACGCATGGAAGAGTCTTTGATAAGTTTGACAAACTCAGTGGAAGCACAAAGAAAGAATAGCTCTCGTACTGAATTTAGCAACAGAACAAAGTAATCTAAAGTTCTCCCTTCTAGTTATAGAAGGAAGATGGTAAAGGGGATTTGCAATTTAGTTTATTTTAGTTATGGGCGGAAGTGGTGTAGTGGCAAGTGGCACGCTTACCACGCGAGCGGTCCGGGGATCAAATCCTGGGTCGTGAGTCGCCCGGGCCAACCAAGCCTTCCATCCCTCCGGGGTCGGTTAATTGGTACCAGACTTGTCTGGGAGGATAAAAACACTGACTTGTACATCGGCTGGCCCCCGCAAGTCATTGTATAGGCCACATCGCATTCAAACGCCACTACGAATGTACAAATGGAAGTAGAATGCGTGCCGCATCCCAAAAAGGGATTGATCAACGGCAAATGCTTTATCCTTTTATTTTAGTTATAAATTAGAGTTAGAAAAAAAACCTTCTGATCAGATTAAAAAAAGCTCAAAGTGCAATGAACACAATCGTTATATCTAAACTATATCTGAACAATTGACTTCATTGCATCCCAGTCGACTCTTTTCGTAGAAGATTGAATCTGGTAGAATTTAGCTCTACCGCTTTCAATCCCTCAAAAGGAAAGCATATATATGCACTGGAGAAGGTTCAGAATAATTTCACTCGTAAGTTGCTTCTTCGACTTGGTGGTTTCCCTTATGGCAATGTACCAAATGCGGCGACTAGGAACAGGTATCTGGGGCTATCAACTCTTCAATCTAGGCGTAAAATCTTTGATCTTTGTTTAGTCCACAAGATGGTACAGTCTCTACCTGGGTCATGTTTCTGTAATGTTTTCAATATAATGCCCTCGAGAACAAGAGGAGGATCCAGTAAGATTTTGCTCACTCAACCTAAGACTACTTTGCGTGCCAAAAATTTCACGTTCAGAGCTGGCAGTCATTATTTGAAGTTGGCAAAAAAGTTACCTCTAAACATATCACTGGCTCAATTCAGACATCGAGTGGCTAATATGCTGCTAAGATACGATGTAGAGTATTAGCGTTTTCGGAGACTGACTGCTGAACT